TAGGTCTGCAATTAAGGAAACAAGATCAGGTGTCCTGGCCAGGTGCAATTACTCATGCCTGTAATTCCAGCACTTAGGGAGGCTGAGGTAGGAGAATCACTTGAACCTGGAAAGTGGAGGTTGCAGTGAGCTGAGATTGCATCACTGCACTCCAGCCTCGTAAAAGAGCAAGACTCCATCTCAAAAAATTAAAAAATATATACAAATTTAAAAAAAGATCTGCAGGAGTTGGCTTGGACACATAAGAAAAAGGAAAAAAAAAAAAGATAGGTATCCTTTACTATCACTAGAAGAATGTAGGTGGTTCCTTAAAACTGTTTAACACTTAAGGAGATGTCCCCTTGGTCTGCATTTACAAGTTGAGAAGAATTAAATCGATCCCGTATTCATGGCATTTTAGAGATGCTGTGCCCCAGGAGTCTGAGCTCTGCCTGAGCCAGTAGAGGGGCGACAAGGGGCTTGTAGTTGGCGTCTGTCCACAGTAAATATCTCCAAGAAGGAAAGTCGTAAAACCTTAGTAAACAGCAATATGCCTGAAAAGACACCGTACCTCACTTCTTACTGGAGAAATGTGAATTATCCCCATACCATTTCCCCGTCAGGTTGGCAAATATTAGAAGGTGGAAGAAACCCAATTGGGAGAGCATGAGGCAGGGGGACTCATTGCATCATTAGTGGAAGCCAAAAATTGCTCAAACCTTTAGGGGGAAAAATACCTATTAGCAATCACTGTTTAAAATGCACATGGCTGGGCTCAGTGGCTCATGCCTGTGATCCCAGCACTTTGGGAGGCCGAGGCGGGCAGATCACTTGAGGTCAGTAGTTCAAGACCAGCCTGGCCAACAATGTGAAACCCCATCTCTACTAAAAATACAAAAAATTAGCTGGGCATGGTGGTGCATGTCTGTAATCCCAGCTACTTGGGAGGCTCAGGTGGGAGAATCGCTTGAACCTAGGAGGTGGAGGTTGCAGTGAGCCAAGACCATGCCACTGCACTCTGGCCTGGGTGACAGAGTGAGACCCTGTCTCAAAATAATAAAAAAATGTACACAAAGTCTTACTCAGTATCCCACTGTGAGGAATTGAGCCTGGCAGACACAGTGGGCAACAATATGAACAGGAGTGTTCTTCGCAGCCTCATTTGTGGTATCAATGAAACTAAGGGAGGAAGATTGTCCGTTCACGGTGGGCTACTTTTAGGAATTATATATCCAGACAGGTGAACTCTCCCGTAGGTAGATTTATGGGAATAGAGGACTGAGGTCTGGGCTGAGCCAGGAAAGAGAAGGGAGCATCTGGCCATTCAATCAACCAATATTTATTGAGCACTTTGTATGTGTCAGATACTCCTTTAGGCTCTGGGAATAGGAATGAAGGAAACATACTGTTCTGGAGGGCAAGCCAGACAAATGTGAAAAGCAAACGCTACAGTAAGGAGAAAAAGAGCTAAGAAAACGGGTGTCAGCTGGAGGAATATACAATTTTATTTATGATTTATTTTGTTTTATTATTTTATTTTTTTAAAGATGGGGTTTCACCATGATGGCCAGGCTGGTCTTGAACTCCTGATCTCAAGTGACCCACCCACCTCGGCCTCCCAAAGTGCTAGGATTACAGGCGTGAGCCACTGCGCCCGGCCTATTATTTATTTTAGAAACAAGGTCTAGTCCTGTTACCCAGGCTGGAGTGCAGTGGCATGATCGTATCTCCCTGCAGCCTCAGTCTCCTGAGTTAAAGTGATCCCCCCACTTCAACCTCTTGAGTAACTGGGACCATAGGCACACTTTACCATGCCCAGCTAATTTTTCAATTTCTTTTCTTTTCTTTTTGAGATAGAGTCTTGCTCTGTCACCCAGACTGGAGTGCAACGGCGCAATCTCAGTTCACTGCAACCTGGGTTCAAGTGATTCTCCTGTCTCAGCCTCCTGAGTAGCTGGGACTACAGGCACACGCCACCACCCTGGGCTAATGTTGTATTTTTAGCAGAGACAGGGTTTCACCATATTGGCCAGGCTGGTCTCGAACTCCTGACCTCAAGTGATCCACCTGCCTCAGCTTCCCAAACTGCTGGGATTACAGCTGTGAGCCACCAGTATCCAGCCAATTTTTAAATTTTTTATAGAAATGGGGTCTTACTATGTTGCCCAAGCTGGTCTTGAACACTTGGGCTCAAGCAATCTTCTGGCCTTAGTCTCCCAAAGTGTTGGGATTACACGTATGAGCCACTGTGCCTGTCTTCATCTTCTCTCTTGAACTTGCTCTCCTGTCATCTTGTCTACCTTGGTCAATGACACTTCTGTTCTCTGCCTTCACCCACCGCTGCCTGCCTCCGATCACCTAAGCTCAAAGGCCAGGGATTCCGGATTTAAACCTTCCCTTTCCCTGCCTCACCTACCAAATCTGATGCTTCTTCCCTACTCCTCAAATCCATCCACCACTTCCTCTGCTCCTCAGTCCCATGAGGTAAGTTTTTTCTTCATTGGCTCTGCTGTGGGGGCCAAAATAGGAACCCCTCTCCCGCTTCTCAAGAGGCTGAGGCAGGAGGAAGGATCACTTGAGGCCAGGAGTTCGAGGTCAGCCTGAGAAACATGGAGAAACCCTGTCTCTACTAAAAATACAAAAATTAGCCAGACGTAGAGATGAAACCACATCTCTATTTTGGGGGCCTATGGTCCCAGCTGTTAGGGAGGCTGAGGTAGGAGGATTGCTTAAGCTGGGGAGGTCGAGGCTGCAGTGTGCTGTGATCACGCCATTGCTCTCCAGCCTCAGTGACAGAGACCTCAGACAGGGAGAGGGAGGTGCCAGATATATTTGGGTTCCCTTGTGGGCAAGAGTCCCTCCACCCAAAATAAGAACATTCACATGTGTTGACTCTGTGCCAGCTGCTGTTTTAAACATTTTTGATACTAAACTTGCAACAGGGCTAGGAGGAGGGTATTATTATAATTCCCACTTAATACAGGAAACTGAAGCACTGAGAGGTCAGGTAGCTTGCCCAAGGTCGCACAGCTAGCAGGTGGCTATCTGAGAGATGAACCCAGGCAGTCTGGCTCTCTAGTCTGTGCTCAGCTAATGGGTGTCTGCTCTGTATGCCCTATTTATTTATTTATTTGATGGAGTTCCGCTCTTTTTGCCCAGGCTGGACTGCAGTGGTGCGATCTCACTGCAACCTCTGCCTCTTCGGTTCCAGTGATTCTCCTGCCTCAGCTTCTCGAGTAGCTGGGATTACAAGTACACACCACCAGACGTGGCTAATTTTGTCTTTTTGGTAGAGACGGGGTTTCACCATGTTGATCAGGCTGGTCTCAAACTCCTAACCTCAGGTGATCTGCCCACCTCAGCCTCCCAATATTTATTTATTTTTGAGATGGAGTCTCATTCTGTCACCCTGGCTGGAGTGCAGAGGTGTGATCTTGGCTCACTGCAACCTCCACCTCCCAGGTTCAAGTGATTCTCCTGCCTCAGCCTCCCAAGTAGCTGGGATTACAGGAACCTGCCTCCAAACCTGGCTAATTTTTGTATTTTTAGTAGAGACGAGGTTTCACCATGTTGGCCAGGCTGGTCTCTAACTCCTGACCTCAAATGATCCACCTGCCTCGGCCTCCCAAAGTGCTGGCATTACAGGCATGAGCCACTGCACCTAGGCATATGTGCCCAACTTTCTAAAATGTTGACTCAAATTTGTTTGAAACCATGGAGGCAAAATGAAGTAGGTCTATGAGCCAGATTTGGTCCATAAGCCACTAGTTTTCCTCCTACCAGGTTACAGAATTTCCCTTCTTCACATAAGTCACAGGAGAATAGAGGGAGAGTATTTTTTTTTTTTTTTTTTTTTTTTTTTTTTTTTGAGACGGAGTTTCGCTCTTGTTACCCAGGCTGGAGTGCAGTGGCGCGATCTCAGCTCACCGCAACCTCCGCCTCCTGGGTTCAGGCAATTCTCCTGCCTCAGCCTCCTGAGTAGCTGGGACTACAGGCACGCGCCACCATGCCCAGCTAATTTTTTGTAGTTTTAGTAGAGACGGGGTTTCACCATGTCGACCAGGATGGTCTCGATCTCTTGACCTCGTGATCCACCTGCCTCGGCTTCCCAAAGTGCTGGGATTACAGGCTTGAGTCACCGCGCCCGGCGAGGGAGAGTATTTTTTTGCACTGACCTGGGGCCTGTTCCTTTGGGTTTTCTCTGATCTCTTTATTTCTAAAGTTTGTAACTCCAGGAGCCCTAATTTCTTCTATAATCTGAAAAAATCTCCCAATTCCCCCCATTGTACCAACTCAGATTACTTTTTTCTTCTATTGAGATCTGCTGGCTCCTAGTTCTGAGCTGACTTATCCTCACAGAGGGTTCTCAGCTTTAGAAGCAGAAAGAGGCCAGGTGCGGTGGCTCACACCTATAATCCCAGCACTTTGGGAGGCTGAGGTGGGTGGATCACCTGATATCAGGAGTTCAAGACCAGCCTGGTCAACACAGTGAGATCTCATCTCTATGAAAAATAAAAACAAAATTAGCTGGGCATGGTGGCGCATGCCTGTAGTCCCAGCTACTTGGGAGGCTGAGGTAGGAGGATCACCTGAGCCCAGGAGATGGAAATTGCAGTCAGCCGAGATCAAGCCACTACACTCCAGCCTGAGCAACAGAGCAAGACTGTCTAAAAAAAAAAGAAAAGAAAAAGTTTAAAAAGGCCCAATTTGCCCCCAACTTTCTCTTTCCTGGTTCTAGGAATTCTAGGAAGAAAGAATTCTAGAAATTCTAGCAAGAAATTCTTTCTAGGAAGAAAGAAATTCTTTCTAGGAAGAAGGAAATCCTTTCTAGGAAGAAAGAATTTCCTTCCTATGGTTTTAGAACCCAGCTGCCTCATTCTTTGCAAGGATCACTCACACTCAAGTATGAACAAGCCTCTTTCTAAAAGAAGTCCTCACTGCAGGCAAGGCCAGGGTAGTGCAGCTGCACGAGCGGGCCATGGGCATTGTCCTGCTGAGGGCAGGGACTGGATCACAGACCCCTCCTACCTACTTTATGTCTGAGACCAGGAACCAAGCAACCGTCTCATACAGTTACTGAGCAGGTTGCTGCCCCTAGAGTCCCTTGTCTAATACGCTCCCCTCTCCTGCGTTCAGAAGTTTGGGCTCTGGGTAGCAAAACTGAAGACAGCTCCTCTTTAGAGATCTTTAGCGATCTTAAAACCAACAGACAAGATGCTGCCGTACTCCGACCCCACCTCAGGGCCTTTCCCTGTTTGCTCTTCCGGGAATCCTCTTCCCAAGCATGGTCCTGTGGCTGGCTCCCAAATGTCACCTTCTCAGAGAGGTCTTCCCTTGATCAAAATTAGCTCCCCTGCGGTCTTTACCTCCACATAATCTCATCAACTTGTTTTTGTTTGTTTTTTGAGACAGGGTCTCAATCTGTTGCCCAGGCTGGAGTGCAGTGTCATGATCAGGGCTCACTGCAGCCTCAACCTCTGTCTATCAATTGATCCTCCTGCCTCAGCCTCCTGAGTGGCTGGGATCACAAGCGCATGCCACCAGGCCCGGCTAATTTTTATTTTTATTTTTTATTTTTGTAGAGACGGGGGGACGGGGTCTTGCTATGTTACCCAGTCTGGGCTCGAACTCCTGGCTTCAAGCTATCCTCCCACCTTGGCCTCCCAAAGCGCTGAAATTACATGTGTAAGCCACCATGCCCGGCTCACGGCTTGCTTTATTGTCTGAATCGCGTTTATAAAAGCGGTGTCATCGTCTTTCACTCTAGAGTGCAAGTCCCCTTCCTTCCCTGGTTCCAGAATTCCCCTCTCCGCGCGGTCCCGCTTGGCAAAGCGCTGGCACCCGCGGCTTCTCAGGTACGGCGGTGCTTGCGGCCGCCCAGGCTTCCCTCTGGCTGCAAAGAGGCGCTACTGCCTTACAAGCAAAACAAACACAGACACTGCATTGGACCGGGCACGCTTTACTCGGGAGGGCTGGAGCGGAGGGCGGTCCGCTGAGGGGCGTGGTCAGGGTGGGCGGAGCCTTGGGGGCCAAGTCCGCCGCTGGGCGGGACCCAAGGGGAACGGCCAGTGGGGAAGTTGGCCAAGTTCCAGAATCAGGGGGCGTGGCTGTGTGTCCGTGGGTGGGCGGGGCCTCCTTGGGTCGGCGGTGGGCGGGGCTTACATCCCGGGCACCACCCCGTCGGTCTCCATGTTGGTGAGGTTACCCCGCAGGTCCTGCTCCTCCTCAAAAGCCTTGAACAGTGAGTTGAAGTTACCGGCACCAAAACCCTGGGGCGAGAAAGGAGGTGAGCCAGGGACCCAGAAAGCCGAGTGTGCTAGCTGCCTGTCCCCTCGGGCCTGCGGGGTACAGGAGGTACCTGGTGGTTGTGGCGCTGGATGACTTCCAGGAAGAGCGTGGGCCGGTCCTGCACGGGTTTGGTGAAGATCTGCAGGAGGTAGCCTTTCTCGTCGTAGTCCACCAGGATTTTCAGCTCCTAGGCGGGAGACAGGGGGCTCTGCTAGGGAAGGCTGGCTCACCCTCTGTCCTGGCACGGTGAGATCCTTGGAAAGCCCACAGGGGCTCCAGCACCCCAAAAGCCCGGAAATGACCTCTTTTTCCGGTAGTTCCAGCCACCTCCAAATATATCCCCAAACTGTCCTATTACCACTCCCCTACTACAGTTTCTTAGGCAGTTTCTGCCTAAGCCACCATTCAAGACTGCGCTCTGCTTCTAATCTTGTCTCCTTACAATCCATCCTTCCCGCAGACATTAGCGGGATCTTTGAAAAATCGGTTCATGTCACTCACCTATTTGAAATCCTCCAGTGGAAATCAAAACCTCATATATTGCTGATGGGACTGTAAAATGGTGCAACCACTTTGGAAAAGAGTCTGGCAGCTTCTCAAAAAGTTAAACATATAGTGTTGCTTTCCTTAAAATACGGATTAAAAAAAAAAAAAAAAGGGTGGCCGGGCACGGTGGCTCACACTGTAATCCCAGCACTTTGGGAGGCCGAGGAGGGCAGATCACCTGAGCTCAGTTGGAGACTAGCCTGGCCAACATGGGGAAACCCTGTTTCTACTAAAAATACAAAAAATGTGGCTCATGCCTGTAATCCCAGCACTCTGGGAGGCTGAGGTGAGCAAATCACCTGAGGTCAGGAGTTGAAGACCACCTGGCCAACATAGTGAAACCCTGTCTCTACTAAAAATACAAAAAAATTAGCTGGGAATGGTGGCACATGCCTGTGATCCCAGCTACTTGGGAGGCTGAGGCAGGAGAATCACTTGAACCCAGGAGGCAGAGGTTGCAGTGAGCCAAGATTGGCCACTGCACTCCAGCCTGGGCAACAAAGCAAGACTCCATCTCAAAAAAAAAAAAAGTTAGCTCGGCATGGTGGCAGGTGTCTATAAGCCCAGCTACTAGGGAGGCTGAGGCAGGAGAATTGCTTGAACCCTGGAGGCGGAGGTTGCAGTGAGCCGAGATCACACCACTGTACTCCAGCTTGGGAAACAATGCAAGACTCTGTCTCAAAACAAACAAACAAAAGGAAACATGGAATTAATACGTGACCTAGCTACTCCCAGATATATACCAAAGTACACCGAAAACATGTCCACACAGAGCCTTTACACAGATGTTCACAGTAGCATTACTGATGACCCCCAAAAGTGGAAACAACCCAAACATCCATCAACAAGGAATAGATAAAGTGTGGTCTATGTATACAATGGGATATTTTTCGGTCATAAAAAGGAAGGAAGCAGTGACACATGCCCCAACGCAGATGAACCTTGAACACACGATGCTGTGGGAAAGAAGCTGGTCACAACAGGCCTATTTTGTGATTCCTTTTGATGAAATGTCCAGAATAGGCAAATCTATAAAGACTGAAGGTAGATTAGTGATTGCCTAGGGCTGGGGTGGGTGTGGGGAAGGGAACGGAGGGGTTGGAAGGTGCTGGCTAAGAGGCTCAAGGTTTCTTTTCGGGGTGACAAAAATGTTCTAAAATGGATTTTTTGCCCAGGCTGGAATGCAGTAGCCTGATCATGGCTCATGCAGCTTCGACCTCCTGGCTTCAAGTGATCCTCTCACTTCAGCCTCCTGAGTAGCTGGGATTACAGGCACGAATTACTATGCCTAGCTTATTTTTTCTTTTTTTGAGATGGAGTCTTGTCCCGTCACCTGGGCTGGAGTGCAATGGCGTGATCTTGGCTCCCTGCAACCTCCTCCTCCCGGTTCAAGCAATTCTGCCTCAGCCTCCCCAGTAGTTGGGACTACAGGCATGTGGCACCATGCCTGGCCGATTTTTTGTATTTTCAGTAGAGACAGGGTTTCACTGTGTTAGCCAGGATGGTCTCCTGACTTCATGATCTGCCCTCCTCGGCCTCTCAAAGTGCTGGGATTATAGGCATGAACCACCACGCCCAGCCTGGCCCACTAATTTTTTAAAACTTTTTTTGTAGAGACAAGGTCTCCCTTTGTTGCTCAGACTGGTCTGAAACTCCTGGCCCCAAGGAATCCTCTTACCTCAACCTTCCAAAATGCTGGAATTACAGAGGTAAGCCACTGTGTGTAACATGTTTTTGTTTTTCTTTAGACAGGGCCTTGCCCAGGCTGGAGTGCAGTGGCCTAATCATGGCTCACTATAGCCTCTACCTCCTGAGTTCAAGTGATTCTCCCACCTCAGCCTCCCCAGTAGCTGGGATCACAGACAGAGATCACCACACCCAGCTATTTTTTTTTTTCTTTTTGTAGAGACGAGGTTTCACCATGTTGACCAGGCTTGTCTCAAGCTCCTGGCCTCAAGTGATCCACCGGCCTCAGCCTCCCAAAGTGCTGGGATTACAGGCATGAGCCACCACACCCAGTCCTAAGTGGATTTTGATGACAGTTACACAACATAGCAAATCGCTAAAAATTACAGAATTGTACACTTTAAAAAGATGAGATGACATGTTATGTGACATTTATCAATAACACTGTTAAAACAAAACCAAAAAAAACACCTCCAATGATTTCTGGCCACAAAAGAACAAAATCCAGACTCCTGAATAATAGCTCAGAAGAGGAACTGGCTCTTGCTTACCTGTCTGACCTGGGTCACCGCTCAAAAACAACCTCCCATCCACTCTAGCCTATTCTTTCTTTTTTTCTTTTTTTTTTTTTTTCTGAGACAGTTTTGCTCTTTCACCCAGGCTGGAATGCAGTGGCGCAATCTCAGCTCACTGCATTCTCCGTCTTCCTCTTCAAGCGGTTCTCCTGCCTCAGCTTCCCAAGTAGGTGGGATTACAGGCACCCACCACCATGCCTGGCTAATTTTGTTGTATTTTTAGTAGAGATGGGGTTTCACCATGTTGGACAGGCTGGTCTCGAACCAACCCGTGACCTCATGATCCGCCCACCTTGGCCTCCCCAAGTGCTGGGATTAGAGGTGTGAACCACCATACCTGGCTCTAGTTTATTCTTTCTGTTCTCCAGACACTCGGGGCTTGCTCCTACCTTTCCCTTGCTGTTCCCTCTGCTAGGAAGGAATGCCCTTTTCCTGCTGTCACATGGCCAACTGCTGCTCATGATCTAGAGTTCACTGAAATGTCACCTTCTCAGAGAGGCCCTCCCTGACCACTCTCTGTAAAGTAGCCCCAGGCTGTCTGTTTTAATTTCCTGCACTGACTCTATTTCTCTGATGGTGCTTTTTTTTTTTTTTTTTTTT